AAAAAAAAAAAGCAAAAAGACAAAATTAACATTAGATAGAATCCGAAACAAAATTAACATTAAATAAAATCTGAAAAATACTTTTTATGAAAAATATTATAGGCGAGCGATATATTTTCCTTAAAGTGAAAAAAACAAAATTACCATTAAATAGATATCATTTTAAGGTATTTTTGCCTTTTTCATTATATTTTCATTTCAAGAGTACACAAGGATGAAATTGCAATATACGTATCAAGTGTAAACTACACATTTGTATTTTCGAAAAGCACAAAAATAGAATAAATATTTGTTTCACAACTCAAGTGAAAAACTTAAGTTATGTATGTGAGAGAAAAATATTATAACAAAAAAGTTTATTTTAAATTTTTATGAGATAAAACACTATAGTAATATCACTTTAATTGTGACTTAAGTTGTGAAAAGAACGAATTTTAAGAAAAAGTTAAATTAGGAGGTATATTTAAATAACATTTATACAATGCACATGACATTTCAACCAAAAATTTCACAAAGATCATGGGTAAAGATCATTGTTGCCTAATTTAATTAAGAGAGTTTCCTACCTATAAAATAATGGCATGTTTACCTACGCGAAATTAGAATGGGTAGGATTTAGAGTGAGTAGGATTCAGATTAAGGAATCAGCGTCAGAATAAATTGTTTACTTTGTGACATGATTCGGAATCAGAGTCACTCTAAATCTCAATCATGTGTATTCTTACATCCAGAATCGGAATGAAATCGTGTAAAAGTACTAATATATCATTTAAGTCAATTCTATATTTTTTATTTAAAAAATAAATTTTGTACTTATTATATTAAAATTAATCATAATTAAGATATTTAGCGTAATAATATGAAAAAATAAAAAATATAAATTGTACAATTATTTAAAATATAAAAATAAATTGTTAAAATTTAAATAAAATATAGTGTTAAAAGTTAAAATATATTATTTAACTTATTAAACAAAGAAAGTACATATTTATCATATTAAAGTTAATAATAATTAGGCTAATATTATAATATTAGGCAAATAAAATAATGAATATATGTTGTAATTATTATTTTTTAAAATTTATTTTTAATTTTATATTTATAAGTAAAATATGGGTACTATAGTAATTTAATGTTAATATCACGAATGAGAGTCTCAATCCCAAGAGGCATTGGAGTGCCAATCCCCTTCCTCAATCCTAATGGCATGCTTACCTACGCGTAATCGGAATGAACATGAATCAAAGTAGGTAGGATTTAGAGTAAGGAATCAGAGTCAAAATAATTATTTACTTGGTGACAAGATTCAGAATCGGAGTCACTTCAAATCTCATTCATGCGTTTACTTACACACATAATCGAAATGAAATAGTATAAAAGAACTAATATACCATTTAAATCAATTTTATATTTGTAATTTAAAAAATAAATTGTGTACTTATTATATTAAAATTAATCATAATTAAAATATTTAGTGTAATAATAGGATAATAAAATAATAAATATAAATTGTACAATAATTTAAAAATAAAAATGAATTGTTAAAATTTAAATAAAAATTAAAATAATGTTCAAAAATTAAAATATATTATTAATTTATTAAACAAATAAAATACATATTTATATTAAAATTAACAATATAATATTAGATAAATAAAATAATAAATATATGTCGTAATTATTATTTTTTGAATTTTATTTTGAATTTTATATTTATAAGTATAATAAAGATACGATAGTATAATAATGATATAATAATAATTTAATATTAATATTAAAAATGAGAATTTAAACCTAAAGAGGCATGAAAGTGTCAATGGTATTTTTCAATCTCAAATTTGAGTAGGGACAACTAATTTTACTCCTATTTTAAAATAAAAAAGAGTAAATATAAATGTGATTGAAAAAAAAAAATTAAAAAAAAGAAAAATGTATAAGCTTCAATATTCCACTATTTTCCTCCAACGCAACACTTTCCATGCGCTATAAATGTCTCTGTACTTCTTCCGCACTACGAGCTACTCCCCATCATTTCCCACCATTACCAAGCACCTAAACCTCAACCTCTTCTTCGCGCCGCGATTCTCTTCTGCGTTCCAACAGCTTCATCGCCAGATCCCGAGATTCTCCGTCATGTCCTACCGGCCCAACTACCGAGGAGGCCGCGGAAACTCCGGAGGAGGCCGCGGAACCTCCGTCGGTCGCGGCGGAGGCCGCCGTGGCGGTGGCGGAGAAGGAGGGCGCGGGGAACAGCGCTGGTGGGACCCGGTGTGGCGAGCGGAGCGGCTCAGACAGAAAGCTGCCGAGGTAATGTTATATTCACTTACTGTTTGGTTGCTGAGAAAATTTGGAAGAAAAAGGAGTCTATGATTCTCTGAGGCCTTTTGGTTTGGGAAGAGAAAGTAATTTTGCTGTTTCTGCTGGTTTATCGAACAATTTTTTTTCCCTTGGAATTAATTGAGTCAAGGTGCAATAACAGAAATGAGAATCAAGTTTTTGATAAACTTTCAAATGGAATTATTCGTTTTAGGACGAAAGAGTAGTGTAATTGATTGAAAACTAGTGTTTTGGATGCTAATAAACTGTAAAAGGTTCATTTTTGGTGCTTGGAGAGCATAAGGAGTTGATTAAGTTAAAAGGCAATTAGTCTTTATAGAAATCGCTAAGGAATTCTAGGCTGATTGATTCTCAAATATTGTCACTGTGTATATATTTTAATGCCTTTTCTCTTGCCATCTCTTTTAGGCTTTTGCTATAATTGGAATACAAATTGTTGTTTTTGATAAATAGGTAGAAGCTATGGATGAGAATGAATGGTGGGGTAAGATAGAGCAGATGAAAAGAGGAGGAGAGAAGGAGATGATAATCAAGCGCAACTTTAGTCGAGCAGATCAGCAAACACTAGCTGACATGGCTTATCAACTTGGCCTTCACTTGTAAGCGCTTTTCATTTCCGAACCTCGTTTGCATTTTAACGAAGAATTGTACTATTTATCGCTCAAAAATAGCATTCGAGAACATTTATCTTGTTTGCATTTTTTATGAAAATTGTTTGGGAAACCCATTTGATGTTTGATTAGTATGCATTGACACGAACTTTTTGGCTTGTTCATTATAAGCGAGAATGTTTATCTTAACAAATGTATTTTTGTTTTATGCTTCTGCAAAGAAAGCCATGCGTATAACAAGGGCAAGACTCTTGTAGTTAGCAAAGTTCCGTTGCCAGATTACCGGGCAGATCTTGATGAGCGTCATGGTTCTACACAGAAAGAGGTAATTTTTTTCTTGGACTGGCATAGTGCTTAATATTTTCAATTGGCTGTAAGTACATTTAAACAATACTATTGAAATTCTTCCATTCTCCAGATTAGAATGACTACAGAAATTGAAAGGCGAGTTGGAAATCTGTTGGATCGCTCACAGTCACGAGGAGGGCTATCTGCTAATAGTTCTTCGGAGGCATCTTCTCAGCGAGGGAAACAATCGTTAGCTGATGGTGATATGACACAACCTGTCCCCGTACTGGAAAATGATTCTACCAAGGAAAAACTTAGTCTTGAGCTCAAGGAAAAGCACGATAAAATGAAGGTACATATTTCAATATGATCATTTTGGCTTTACATGTTAGTATTCAGATTGATAATTATTGTTGTTTCAGATATTATTTTCTGTTGAATATGGCTAGTTTTTTTGGCTAAAATTTTGGTTACCTCTTTTTAGGCAAGTGGTAGTTTAAAGGCAATGCAGTCATTCCGGGAGAAGCTTCCTGCATTCAAAATGAAGTCCGAGTTTCTGAAAGCTGTTGCAGAAAATCAGGTGAGGTGTCTTCTATGCATCAAGTTAGGAATTGTTCTTCACCTAATTTGTATTCCAGTGTTAAAAGAGTAACAACATTTGTCATTATGAGTTTATGGATGCCTGTTGGTTTTGTTTGTAATGTAGGTACTAGTAGTTTCAGGAGAGACAGGTTGTGGCAAAACAACTCAGCTTCCACAATTTATTCTTGAAGCGGAGATCTCCTCTTTGCGTGGTGCCGATTGCAACATAATTTGCACTCAACCTCGCCGTATATCTGCTATTTCCGTCTCAGCTCGTGTATCCTCAGAAAGAGGAGAAAGTCTAGGTGAAACTGTTGGTTATCAGATTCGGCTGGAGTCAAAGCGTTCTTCTCAAACAAGGCTCCTCTTTTGCACAACTGGAGTATTACTTCGTCAATTGGTAATGTATAAAATCTGGTCAATTGCTTCCAATTCTTGTTTCGTTAAACCCCTTCCCACCTTTCGATGCAGTGCAGTGCGCCTCTCCAACAGCCAGTACACTTTATCATGCTTAGGGACTTCAAGTTACTTACAACGCAGCAAATATTTAGATTCCTTTGGAAAAAAAAAAAAAAAAAAAAAAAAAAAACTAGGGTAAATGTTGTGCAAGTCAAAGTCCAAATCAAGCTTACCATATGGGGAGAAATTGAATGTATCAACAGTCAAGTAGTGGTTAAAACAGAAAAGAGAAAAAGAGAATGCTATCACAAGGGGTACCATTCTCTGGGTACTACTTTTAACTGTTTTAATAAAAAGTTCAGCCCCATGGTAGCCTACAAGACTCCTTATTTTCTCCGCTAGATGCCAATATGCTACACTCATGCTTTTCTACTGTACTTGTTGTTGGACTACAGGTGCAGGATCCAGAGTTAACGGGTGTAAGCCACTTGCTTGTTGATGAAATCCATGAAAGAGGCATGAATGAGGACTTTTTACTGATAATTCTGCGGGATCTCCTACCCCGCCGTCCAGATTTACGTCTTATTCTAATGAGTGCAACAATCAATGCTGACTTGTTCTCTAAATACTTTGGAAATGCACCTACCATACATATACCGGTATTGTTCCATCATTCTATTATTTTTCTGTTGGAAAATATTTCTTAAGGTTTTTATAATGCAGATACTTAATTTTAGTTTGAGATTTTTCAATGAAGATACAACTTAATTTAAACTATTCTTTGACGAATTATTGGCAGGGATTCACTCATCCTGTGGCTGAGTTGTTTCTAGAAGACATTTTGGAGAAAACGCGCTATAGTATCAAGTCAGAGTTTGACAATTTTGAGGGAAACTCAAGGAAAAGAAGAAGACAGAAAGATACCAAGAAAGATCCGTTAACTGAATTATTTGAGGTCTTACTCCCTTTCATCTTGATTTTCACGGATTCAAATCAATGATCCGTATGTTTAGCATGACATGGAGTAATGTTTCTATCGTTTGTGATTTATAATCCAATGCAATTTATAATCAGTTTAAGATGCCAGGTTATATCTCTCACGTTTGTATCTTTTAGGCTATGTTTGTTATATGGGTTCTTTATGGGTTCAAACCCATGGTTTTCATTTTGCTACAATGTTTTTCTCTCACAAAAATTTAAATTTCAATTTCAAAAGTCATAATCAAAATCATTAGTTTGAACTCATATACCAAACGGGTCCTTTTAGAGTGCATCATATGGAGACATATGTAATCCATAATTTATTGCGGCAGTTTTTGCAAATTGATTGATTTTATCTTGATGCCAAGACGATTGAGTAAGGGCTAGAAGCCTCTAATAATTTCCTTGACAATTTTTGCTGTTCAAACATATTTCTTATTTCAGTTTTTAAGAAATGCGTTCTGTTACATGGCAGATGATGATGCTAAATTCCAGGGAAAAAACACAAAACCACTGCCACCACCCAATATCATAACATAACAATGATCATACAAAAAGGAAAAAAAAAATGAATTTATGAAGGATTGGTTTATTTATGTAGGAGGTTAATATCGATGCTCAATATGGATCTTATAGCACATCAACGAGAAAGTCTCTTGAAGCTTGGTCTGGATTACAGCTTGATCTGGGTCTGGTAAAGTTCTTGCTGTAAACTCGGCATGAATTATCTGTTATCTTTTGGAATGAAAAATTAGTACTGCTTTTTGGAGAAAAAACTACTCTTGATTGTCTTGTACTTCTCATTCCCTCTGCATGGGTCGTGATGAGTAAAAAGGTTGTTCCTCTCATCACTCAAAGGTTGTTCCTCTCATCACTCAAATCACCGTAATTTTATTTTTGTAGGTAGAGTCGACTATTGAATACATATGTTGCCATGAAGGTCCTGGTGCGATTCTCGTATTCCTTACAGGCTGGGATGACATTTCAAAGCTACTTGACAAAGTTAAGGCAAACAGAGTCCTTGGAGATCCAAGCAAGTTTATGGTTCTTCCCTTGCATGGATCTATGCCTACCATCAATCAACGTGAAATATTTGATAGGCCGCCACCTAACCAAAGGCAAGCATGTTGTTACTGATAAATAGTTTCATCAATTTTTAGATGGGAGGAGGATTTTATTTCTATTTTCATATTACTATAAACCACGATGCATGTGTATGATCGTTATGAATATGTGATTGTTTTGCCTGTAAATTTACTTAAGTTGGTGAATGGCTAGCCAAAAAACTGTAGCAGTATAGTTTTCTGCTCTAATTTCATCATTTGCTGTTCTTTTTTAACCACATTACTCAACATTGTGTTTCAACTTTCAATCATTTGGCATCAGTTGGAAACTCTTTAATATGGCTGACATTGTTACAATATAAAATTCTTGTTATTCTGCCCTTTCAAATTCTAAATTTTCCTCGTTTGTGTAGAAAAATTGTGCTGGCAACAAACATTGCTGAGAGTAGCATCACCATAGATGATGTTGTGTATGTCATAGACTGTGGAAAGGCAAAGGAGACTAGTTATGACGCTCTTAACAAACTGGCTTGTCTCTTACCATCGTGGATTTCAAAAGCTTCAGCACACCAGGTACACTGTTAGTTCTATGGACATACGACACAAATGCAATGTTCCCATGAACTAATCATCCGTTTTTGCTTTTCGTTTTCTTTTCTTTTTATCATATAAACATTTGTTTATTGATGTTCCGTAATGATCTCAGAGACGAGGGCGTGCGGGCCGTGTGCAGCCTGGAGTTTGTTATAAATTGTATCCAAAAATGATTCACGACGCAATGCTTCAATACCAGTTACCTGAAATACTCCGAACACCTCTGCAAGAGCTGTGCCTCCAAATCAAAAGTTTGCAGCTTGGAACTGTTGGATCCTTTCTTGCAAAGGCACTTCAGCCACCGGATCCCCTTGCTGTTCAAAATGCAATTGAGCTTCTTAAAACTATAGGAGCTTTAGATGATAGGGAAGAGCTCACTCCACTTGGTATTATTACTAGATTAACCTTCTTTTCACCACGGAAATCAGATTTAGGGTGCTGAATACAAGCTGCCTTCACGTTTACATAACAGGTTGCCATCTTTGCACTCTGCCATTGGAGCCAAACATTGGGAAGATGCTACTGATGGGGTCTATCTTTCAATGCCTTAATCCTGCCTTAATAATTGCTGCTGCTCTTGCTCATCGCGATCCATTTGTCCTGCCTATAGACAGAAAAGAGGTAGCTGATGCTGCAAAAAGGTCTTTTGCCGGTGACTCATGCAGGTTAGTTTACTCAATTTAGCCATATATCCCTTGTCTGATTGTACGGCAGAAAATTAGGTCAAAGTTGAATATTTACCTATCTAAATATAAAATCTTGGCATTTTTTTTGGGCAGCGATCACATTGCACTTCTTAAAGCTTTTGAAGGCTGGAAGGAGGCAAAACGTAGTGGGAAGGAAAGAGCCTTTTGTTGGGAGAACTTTTTATCTCCGGTAACTTTGCAGATGATGGATGATATGAGAATGCAGTTTCTGGATCTTCTATCGGATATTGGCTTTGTGGACAAGTCCCGGGGTCCTACTGTAAGCGCTTAACTTTTAAACTTCTTTACTGTCGAAGACCTAGGTTTTTTAAAGTTAGGAAATTATCTCTTAAGAAGATTATCATTCTAAAAGTTAGGAGTTATGTCTTCCTTGATTCTATTTTTAAATTTAGAAATCCAGATAGAATGTTTGTTTAGGTCCGGATAAGGATGACTTGGAATTCAATTAGGATTTCATGATTAGGTTAGTTTTTCTAAGTTAGTTTTATGCCTATAAATAGCTTCTAAATTCTGCATATTAATAATAAGAAAGTAAGTACTTTTTTTTCTAAAAAACTACATGGTATCAGAGCTAGCTCTTAAGTTTTAATGGCAAAGATTGCCATGACCGGAGCAAGTAGGACCTCTGCTTCTTCAAGGGATTCCGCAGAGAATGAGTAGTTTGGAACCACTGCCATGACCAGCGGCACAAATCCATTAGCAACATATGCAAATCCTTCTCTTCAGATCACTGTTCACAAATTAAATGGCAAGAATTACCTGGAGTGGGCTCAGTCCATGAAGCTCGCAATTGATGGAAGAGGGAAACTTGGCCATTTAACTGGAGAGGTAAAAAAACCAGCAGTGGGTGATCCGAATCCGAAGGTATGGCGATTCGAGAACTCTTTGATAATGGCGTGGCTCATCAACTCAATGGAGCCGGCTATTGGGAAACCCCATCTATTCTTACCAACCGCCAGAGATATGTGGGAAGCTGTACGTGAGATGTACTCAGACTTGGAAAACTCATCACAAATCTTCGAACTAAAGACGAAGCTATGGCAATCCAAGCAGGGAGATCGAGATGTCACAACATACTACAATGAGATGGTGACTTTATGGCAAGAATTGGATTTGTGTTATGAAGATGAATGGGATTGTCCTCCTACTGATAGTGTGCAGCATAAGAAAAGAGAGGAGAATGATCGAGTTTACATGTTTCTAGCAGGACTCAATCAAGAATTAGATGAAATAAGAGGAAGGGTCTTAGGAAAAAAACCCTTACCATCTATCAGAGAAGTGTTTTCAGAAGTTAGGAGAGAGGAGGCTAGGTGAAGAGTGATGCTAAAAACCCAAGAACCGAAGCTCAATCCTGAAGCAGAAAGTTTGGCTCTAGTCTCTAGAGGATTTGATCCGGAGGAAGAAAAGAAAAAGAAACCATGGTGTGATCACTGCAAAAAATCATGGCATACAAAGGAAAACATGCTGGAAACTTCATGGCAAACCGAAGAATTTTAAAAAGAAGAATAGAGGTGATGGCAAAGCATTCCAAACCGTGAGTGAGGATTCTCAAAGGCAGCAAATTAACTCGGAAATAACTTAGTTCACAAAGGAACAACTAGACCATCTGTACAAACTCTTTCAATCTCCACAATTTTCAAATTCTTCTTGTTCTTTAGCTCAAAAGGGTAATTATCTCATTACAGCTCGCTCTAGTATAAAATCTAATCTGTTTTGTCCATGAATTATTGACTCTGGAGCTACAGATCACATGACTGGCTCTTCAAAACTGTTTTCATCCTACAAACCGTGTGCATGGAATAAAAAGATCAAAATTACAGATAGATCCTTTTCAGCCATAGCTAAAATAGGACCAGTTAGCATTTCTCCATCTCTCGCACTTCATAATGTCCTCCATGTTCCAAATTTGTCTTGTAACTTATTGTCCATAAGCAAAATAACTCATGATCATAAGTGTCAAGCTAACTTCTATTCATTTTATTGTGAGTTTCAGGAACTAACCTCGGGGAGAACGATTGACAGTGCTAGAGAGATTGGTGGACTTTATTTTTTTGAAGATGGATCCAAATCAAGAAGACCGACACATAGTACTTGTCTTGAGTCTATTTCTATTACTAGTAGGGATGAAATAATGATGTGGCATTATAGTTTAGGCCACCCTAGATTTCAATATTTAAAACATTTGTTTCCAAACTTATTTAGCAATAAAAATCCATCTTCATTTTAGTGTGAATTTTGTGAATTAGCTAAACATCATCGTACCACTTTTTCATTACAACCATACAAGGCTTCAAAACCTTGTTCCTTAATACATAGTGATGTATAGGGGCCTTCACGGATCTCAACATCATCGGGAAAGAGATGGTTTGTCACTTTCATAGATGATCACACAACGGTAAGTTGGGCGTACTTACTAAAAGAAAAGTCAGATGTGGAGGAGGTGCACAAATTCAAGTTTTTCGAAGTGATAATGGAAAAGAGTATTTTAACAAGATTTTGGGAAAATTCTTCCTAGAAAAAGGCATAGTTCACCAGAGCTCGTGTAATGACACCCCCAACAAAATGGAATAGCTGAACAAAAGAATAAACACCTCCTAGAAGTAGCTAGAGCACTACATTTCACAAATAAGGTCCTGAAGTATCTTTGGGGGGAAGCTATCCTCACAACTACCTACCTTATCAATAGGATGCCAATTAGGGTGTTGAAACTCAAAACACCATTACAGGTATTTTCAAGTTGCTATCCAACATCTAGGTTATCATCTACACTTCCTGTAAAAATTTTTGGATGCACAGCCTTTGTACACATTCATGATCATAACCGGGGAAAACTTGACCCTAGAGCTAAAAAATTTGGTTTTGTAGGATATGCACCGACTCAAAAAGGTTATAAATGCTTTGATCCAATTTCTAAGAAAATGTTTGTTACCATGGATGTAACCTTTTTTGAATCTAAACCTTTTTTCGCTACTCATCTTCAGGGGGAGAGTACAAGTGAAGATGTAACCAAATTAGGAATTAATGATGTTTTTGAAATAGGTTCAACACATACTCCTAATATTGAGACTGAAAATTCGGATTCACATGTTAAAAAACCGGAAAATATGGATGGAACAAATGATATTTTACATATTGAAAATTCCAGCAGTCTACTGCCATGTCAAAATCAGAATCTCAGCAGCTCAGAAAATGGGAACAAGTTTGGTACTAAGAATACAGATCTCTTGGTCTATTCAAGGAGGAAACTGAATTCAAAGAAATAAGGTCCCAATCCTCTACAAGGCCATGAGTCCGAACTGAGGGAAGAACCAAAACCAGGTAACAATCAATCCGATTCTTTGTTAAATTCCAGTCCCGAGTCCCTTGGTGATTCCATACAGTCTATCCCTAGTGCTAGTACTGAGTCATTTGATGATCTCAATATTCCTATTGCCACCCACAAGGGTGTCCGGTCATGCACTAAACATCCCATGTCTAATTATGTGTCCTATAAGAATCTTTCTCCTTCATTTTTTTCATTTACCTCACATCTCACTTCTGTGGAAATTCCAAAGAGTGTACAAGAAGCTTTACAGGTTCCTGAGTGGAGGAAAGCTATTTCTGAAGAGATGAAAGCACTTGAGAAGAATCACACATGGGAAGAAATGGATCTGCCGAGAGGGAAGAAAACAGTTGGCTGCAAATGGGTGTTCACCATCAAGTATAATTTTGATGGATCTCTCGAGAGGTACAAAGCACGGTTGGTGGCTAAAGGGTTTACTCAAACCTGGCGTTAATTATCTCGAGACCTTTGCTCCAGTGGCAAAGCTGAATACCGTAAGAGTACTTCTTTCAATTGCAGCAACTCTTGACTGGCCGCTTCAATAGTTAGATGTGAAGAACTCATTTCTAATTAGAGAATTGGAAGAAGAAGTTTATATGGACCCACCGCCTGGATTTGATAAGCACTTTGGTTCTAAGGTTTGTAAGCTAAGAAAATCACTTTCTGGGCTCAAACAATCCCTAAGAGCCTGGTTTGAACGATTCACTCAGTCTATTAAAAATCAGGGATATGTGCCCAAAGTGACCACGCTATGTTCATCAAGCACTCCGATGATGGGAAAATTGCAGTTTTGATAGTCTACGTAGATGATATCATCCTTACTGGAGATAATTCTGCTAAAATGAGTCATTTGAAGGAAAGTCTGGCTTCAGAATTTGAGATCAAAGACTTGGGATCTTTAAAATATTTTCTGGGGATGGAAGTTGCTCGTTCAAAAGATGCCAAAGATGGAGATCCGGTAAATACAACACGATATTAGAAGTTGGTGGGAAAACTAATTTACCTATCTTATACCAGACTAGACATTGTGTTCGCAGTTAGAATGGTAAGTCAATTCATGCACTCACCACGTGAATAACACCTTGAGGCAATATATCGAATCCTGAGGTATTTGAAAAGCACTCTAGGGAAAGGACTCCTCTCCGAGAAACACGAGCAGAAAACAATTGAAGCATACACAAATGCAGATTGGGCGGGTTCCGTCACAGACAGAAGATCTACATCTGGATATTGCACTTATGTTTGGGGAAACTTAGTCACTTGGAGGAGCAAGAAACAAAGTGTAGTAGCTCGAAGTAGTGCAGAAGCCGAGTACCGAGCAATGGCTCATGGAGTATGTGAAATGTTGTAGTTAAAAAGGATTCTTGAGGAATTGAAGAAACCAATAGAGATGCCTATGAAACTCTACTGTGACAACAAGGCTGCGATCAGTATTGCTCACAACCCAGTGCAACATGACAGAACTAAACACGTTGAAATTGACAGACATTTCATAAAGGAGAAGCTAGAAGAAGGTGCTATCTGTATGCCGTTTGTTCCAACAACACAACAAATAGCTGATATTCTCACGAAGGGATTATTCAGACCAAGCTTTGAGTTTCTTATCAGTAAGTTGGGCATGATAGATATCTATGCACCAACTTGAGGGGGAGTGTCGAAGACCTAGGTTTTTTAAAGTTAGGAAATTATCTCTTAAGGAGATTATCATTCTAAAAATTATGAGTTATCTCTTCCTTGATTCTACTTTTAAATTTAGAAATCCGGATAGAATGTTTGTTTAGGTCCGGATAAGGATGACTTGGAATCCAATTAGGATTTCATAATTAGGTTAGTTTTTCTAAGTTAGTTTTATGCTTATAAATAGCTTTTAAATTCCGCATATTAATAATAAGAAAGTAGGTTCTTTTTCTCCTAAAAAACTACATTTACCTTTTCTTGAAACCATTTCAGTTGCACAATTTTTCCAACTTTCACGTGACATTATTTAGATACACCTGCTTAAACTTGGAAAAAACTGTAAAATAATATTTTAATTTGTGTATGCAGGCTTATAACCAGTACAGTCACGATTTGGAGATGGTATGTGCAATCCTTTGCGCCGGGCTGTATCCGAATGTTGTGCAGTGCAAAAGAAGAGGAAAGCGGACGGCGTTTTACACCAAAGAAGTTGGGAAAGTTGACATCCACCCCGCATCTGTCAATGCTGGAGTACATCTCTTCCCTCTACCTTACATGGTTTATAGTGAGAAAGTGAAAACAACCAGCATTTATATCCGGGACTCTACGAATATTTCGGATTATGCCTTGTTACTCTTTGGTGGTAATCTCATACCCAGCAAAACTGGGGAAGGTATTGAAATGCTCGGTGGTTATCTCCATTTCTCCGCGTCGAAGAGTGTTTTGGAGTTGATACGGGTAAATATGCCTCTCAAGCTTCAAGATTTTTCTGTTGAATTTACAGATACCGCATACTTTCTATTTAGATACGCAAACAACTTTACTAAGATTATGAACTGTCTTTAGTTATGGTGTTCCTTTTTCCGCAGAAACTGCGTGGTGAACTGGACAATCTTTTAAACAGGAAGATTGAGGAACCAAGTTTTGACATTTCCAGAGAAGGAAAGGCAGTGGTTGCTGCTGCGATTGAGTTATTGCACAGTCAAAACGTACGATACTAAACCTTTTTTTTTTTTCTCTTTGGAAAAAGTATCCATTGTTTCTTCCCTTCTGGTTCAGTATCAGCAGAGGTTTGTAGGAGCTCCCTTATTTTATTTCCTTTTTCTAAATTCTTTTACTCTTGTTCATAAATTCCTCCTGTTTATCAGTGCAAAATTTGTAGGAGTTTAGTAGTAAAATTTTCGGGCTTTGACCTTACATATGTAATTTTGTTTTGGTCTCTGGTGGCTGTAATGTTAACATACAAAATATATATTTGGAAGAGAGTGCCTATAGAAGCGAGAGGACTCGTGTTAATTGCATCTTAAACTTTTTTTTAATTTATTTGTTTTTAGCTTTTAGAATTGATGAGAATTATCTCAGTTTATTGGGGGGAAAAAAATAGCGCTCTCTCTTAAACTCACCTTTAGCCGTACAAGTTCTCTCTCACTTGTGTTGAGGTCCAAATTCGCACGTCATCTCCTACCATACAAGTAGCAATTTAGACTTCGGAAACCACTAAACGAGTCATCACGACTCCTAACCATGTTAGATCGACTTGTCGGAGAGCAAATCCTACCAGTTGATCCGACGAGTTGACATTCAGCCTTGGACAAAAAGTTAACGAGAAACTATCCTCAATGTATACCTAAAATAGGAATTCGTAGCTAAATCATTCAAAGAAGGGAAAAAAAATCAGCCAGTTAAACTAGAGAAATCAAGAAGAAAAAAGTCAATGATTGACTTAGGCAACAAGTAAGATGTCCTTCAAGCAAGATTAATAGCTTTCCAATTAAGAAATTCAAATCCACAACAATCACGCAGGTCAATGTGAATGAGAATCTACAAAGAAAAGTCAAATATCACTGGAAAATGAAACTAACAATAAGATCACGAATTGAGGGCTAAATCGTCTAAAGAAATAGGAAACAACCTGTGGAGCATAATCAACTGTAACTACAGGAGATTTAGGCACTCTCAAGAGGCATACTAGGAGCACATACACACTACAATGATTACACAATTATTTCTTACATTATCTCTGTATTTCCCAACATTCCCCCTTCTCTCATCCATTTCTTCTCTCTTAACAACTCGTTGTAATGCTTTTCAGCAAACATACTGAAATTTCGAAGCCTTACAGGTGTAGCTCTCATTATTGAGCAAACCTTTATAAATTAATTTGTCTTACTTATCTCATTATCATAGCGGATCAATTCTTCAATTGACGGCTCCTATGATAGATTTTACTTGCTACAACTTGTCACTCACAAGGTTTCCTCTTTCACCAGAGGTTTTAATGTAACTATAGTTTCATTTAAAAAATGTTATTATCGTTAAGCACTACTAATTAAAGTATAACCATCAATACTGACATGATAATAAATATAACTGTGAATGCAACTGTTAATTTGATTATCCCAGTCGTATTTAGTGTCACTGCAAAGTGATGTTTGTTTACCTTATGATTATGCATGTCCATGATTCATGATGGTATGAACCTTGATATAATTTTATGTAAGCGTGTTGTGCTCCTAAATCCTTATAATAGTTTATGTTCTTTGTTTAATATGTTGAGATGATATGTTTAAGCTTTCAAGATAGTAAGGTTAAATTGAGGCTTAATTTTATTCTAGTACGCATGTTTGATATTTACCGATCATCGATTTTATTATGAGAATGAGATATGTTAACTCTTAGAATAATATGGAATCTATGTGACATGTTATTTTATTTTTCATATGAGAACTTGGACCATAACATGGTATCATAATTGTACATTGGCATTTTGTGATATGTTAGATTGTAGGTTAGGGTGGGAATTGAAAGTCCTTTAAGAGACCATAAGGTTTTATATATGATAAGAAATGCAACGTTGCTATTTAGTTCCCGGGTTATAGGTGTGGCAGCCTAAGTGGTTGTTGGATCTATGATTAGGTCATGATGCCAAATTCCCTAAACCTTGGCTTGGTAAGAAGGGATAAAGCCCCGTGAATACCCATGTTACCAGTTATGTGAATGCCAATAGATCGTAACTCCGGTGAGATAGGCAAGCCACAAGTGGTTAGTGGTACAACTCTAGAAGCCGAGTTCGATTTATTAATGGTATGTGAGGTTCATGTGTGCGATTCCTCAGACCCATTAGCCTGGAGTTTAGGACAATCATACGATTGAACATTAGTCGACATAAGGCAGTCCCACGGGGCTAATAGTGTTCGTTTCCGAAACGATTTCGGATGCATAAGCGTGTATTTAGCGGATCGTGTTTTGTAAAAATTTTCATAAAACTTTGAGATACCTATAGATTACATTAATTTATACACAAATAAACTAATCAAAATTATTTATTTACCTAGCGAACGAATAGATCGATAACTTGAGTTCTTTGACCACGAACGTTCCTTGCTCCAATCTAGTTTAGAACACCCGAATCTTCCTTGTTAATTCCTAGAATCTACGAAGACGCGTGTGTGGGCACACATGCAACAAAACAAGATTAGCAAATAAACACTCAAGTTTTTCACGAACACCAACACATGCACGACGTGGAATTTAGGAGAAAAGTTTTCTTTCCACACTCTATAATTTGGCCACTATATGCTTTGGAGAGAGCAAAAATTGTGTTCTTTAATTTTCTACAATCTCCTATTTATAGAGTAGTAGTCAGACTCTTAGAAGAAGTCTAATCTTTATCTCTAAGAAAAATCTTGATAATTATCTCTCATTTCTAATTTGATTTGGAAACAAAATCCACTCTCCCTTATCCATATGTTGGCCGGCCACCACAGGGAGATTCCTCCATGTGGTAGGCGCAATTGCAGCTAGGGAATAGGGCAAAATTCTGGCTTTATCCTACAATCTAATTTGACTCAAATTCAAATTCCAATTTGAGTCAAACTTAAATTAATTTGAATTTCAAATTGGACAACTTATCAAATAAGTTAATTAGATAACTTGGAGAGCAAGCAACTGAATTCCAAAGGGATTCACACTGTGTTGGGCGTTCACACTATGTGAACACCTTCACATGTGTGTTCTAAAATTCAAATTTAAATTTAAATAATCACATTATTTAATTAATAATCAATTCTCAATTAACTATCCTGGAGCGTTTTATTTTAAAATTTCATAATTCTAAAATTTCCATTTTGCCTTTAGTGTCTTGTAGAATTACAAGGACAACACGAGGACACATGAACCTATAATTCTGAGCTCCAATAAAATTAATAATTAATTAAACTATTTAATTAGTTAATTAATTCTATTAATTTCAAAAGTTACTCCACTATAAACTTGAAATTGCACTATCATTATTATATATATAAATTACTTTTAAACCGTGAAGTGTCCATTTGATATAGTCATTACATATAGATTAATTCTCCATAAATAATTCATAATTAGAGCTAGGTAAAATCCGTTAACCTCTCTAATTACATCTTTATCCTTGAGTACCATTGATTCTCTAATGGACAGTGATTCATAAAACAATTAGAGCTCCTACTGGTCTAAGTACCGAATCAATCCTTAAGAGAATTATTTATCTACTTCTTTCTCAAGAAGGAATGGATTTCATCTCGTATAATAACATTCTCGGTTGCTCACTTCATCATGTCTCCAAAATACAAGGAATATGATTCAGGATCTCAGACTTGTACTAAGTAAATCAAAAGACACAAATTCATAAATATGAGTATGCTAATAACTTAGGATTAAGATCATTCTATATATGACTATCAGTAGACTCAATTAGAATTTCTATCCTTAACGAAATTATCAGAAATTCATATTGTGTATGTGTCTCTGTTCCACATAATCTCATTATGCGTAATACGCTCATTCAATATCTCGTCATATTAATAGTGCGGATAACACTGTTCTATTCTAAATAAGAATGACATGTATTAAAAATGTTTTAATTAAAGTTTCTGAACTTTAATTAAGTTCATTACGAACATCGTTTTGATTATTATTCTTAAATATTATCCTCTCACATAGAACACTTATATACAATATTTAAGGTCATATAAATAATTATGAAATTTTCAGTGATATTCATAAAATATTTAATAATATATGTACATAAAATAATGAATAAACTATTTTATTAAATTAATAATAAATATCATATCACATCTCGTACTTTTAGGATACTATTTCCAACAAATAGAAAATACATGCACGTTAAAAGACTAGATCATTGATTATGTAATGAATTATGCACCCAGTTATGACATGTTGATGTGACGATATGATATGATGTATAGAATGAATAGTTCTAGGAAAAATATGCTATGCGATATGTGATGTGTCTAAATCGTTTTAGTATGTCCTAATCCTATATGCTATTTGATAATATTTTAATTATGATCACGTTAAATGGGGGCATGTGATTAATGTGTGTTTTATGTTATTTGTTTTTACTCTCATTATTTTGAGTGTTGTGTTCACCGAACGAGGAGACAAATTAGGGGTATGTCAGACTTGTTAGGATAACTTAGTAATTTTGTAATCTTTTTATCTACTATTTATTTTGACTTTTGTATGAGTGTGTATTTATGGATTAGAAGAGAGTAACAATAGCTTGAAAGTAAGGATGCGATAAGAAGGAGAACAAAAAAAAAGAAGAAAAGAATATGAACATGGTTGCTTATGAGATTATGACTACTAAATGACTTATATATGTAGTGTTCTTTATGGTTTAATGAGTTTGAAGAAATCTTCTTACATTGTATGCATTCAATCATATTTAGAGTAGCTAGTCTACTCGCTTACTGAGCCCTCTAGCTCCCTGGGATTTTCTTTGTGTTGCAAGCAAGTCTATGGTTAAATAGCAGTGAGCAAGAAAACAGATCGAGGTGGTAGTACATGTGAAATACGACCAGTTATGACCAACTTTTCAATTTTAACTTTTGAAGAAACAAACTTTAAGTTTCTTTTATGATGTTGGGACTAAGTTATTTTTAGGACCTTACTTCTAAACTTCTGTAGATATTGATGATCAAACTTTATTAAATCTTTTGAGAAATAGTCATATGGCTTAATATGAACCTCGTATGAATTTAATTAAAAAAAAATCTCACTGAAATTTCTACATTATAAATATGGTTTTGCACACACTTTAAAAGATCAAAATTTTCTGCATTTTTATGGTTAGGTAAATTGATTAACACAAATCTTTGATTTATTTTTAAGTATATTATCTTCAAGTTAATATGTTATGTATATATTTCCACGTCGCGGCCTTTCGCCGGCTTAAGTTAGTAGCTAGGTGGCAGGTCATGATAAAAATTGCTTCAATTGACATGACTCAGGCGGTTATCGATCGGTAACCACCGCGATACCGACCGCCAACTCGTGTCCAACCGTAATACCACTGTTATCCAATGGTAATACCAGTCAATAATTGACAATATCTTGGCCAGTTACCGATGGTATCCCGATCGGTAATCGTCTTGATCGGTCGCAGCTTGATGTCGTCGGAATACCAAAAAATAGAAAAAAAACCACAAAATCCACACAAATTCACTGAAATCATACCATATAATAAAAATAACAACAAAAATATACAAAATAAAAAATTTGGCAAAAAAAGAGAACAAGTCCGGCCATTGATACCTCGGGCGAGGAAGATCTTTTTGGTGATGGAGAAATTGCATGGAGGAGATCTCCTCCGAGTAACCATCGTGCGAGGGGATATTCCGGTGGGATCTCCCTCAAAGCGCATAGGAGATCTCTGAATCTGCGTCGTCGCAACGAAGTTTAGATCTCCTCCACGAGGTATGGAGATAAGGAGATCCCAGAGAGCTTCTCAGCGTTGGCTCCTGGAAGAGCTAATCATCGTCGTCACCGTCGCGACGCTATAAGGTCGCGTATTAGATCGGCGCTGCAAGGCTCGAGCTCTTGTACGACGATCCTTTTCTTCATTGACTCCGACAATGTCTTCGCAAAGAAGCATGACGACAGTACAACGGGACAGGTGGCGACTGATTAGTTGACGGCGTCACTGAGGAAAGGCGGCAACACATGAGAAAGAGATAGGAGAAAAGAGATGGAGATAGAAAAGGAAGTGTAAAGAAAGAAATGAGGAAAAAAAAATATTAGAACAAAAAAACCTAATTCATTTGAGGGTATTTTTAGACTTCTTACACTAAGTATGATCGTGCTACATGGCATAAATGTAACAGTTAAGTGCTTTGGCAAGGGTTGTTCAGATAAATCGAAAACCGAGCGGCAACGACAGAATCAACTGAAAACTGCAGGAAAAAACCCGCCAGAGAGCGGTGGCCAATTCCGTTAGTCGGTGAAACCGTCCCACAAAATGAGATTCGGTCAGGTGGCAGTTTTGAGATTTTTCTACTGGTCGGTGACCGAAATTGAAGCCGAGCCGCTTTCTCCCTCTCTCCACCAATCTTCTTTCCTTTCTTCCTCTAGAGTCTAGCCGCCGTCCCTTTTTGTCTGCAAATCAGATGGAATAAGATGAAACCCCCCCCCCCCCCACACACACACACACAAAGCCCAACAATTATAATACCCAGGTTTCTTTAATTTTTTTTCTTTTTTTTATTTATTCACTAAGTGAAATGGTGCGTTTCACCTTATAACAAATTTTTTGGAAAAACATCTTACGATTCTCACATGGGAATGAAGCCCCGGTTGCCAAACGCCCAAACTTCTTATCTATTCTTCTTCGTCGTTGTCTCATTCTTCTTCGAAGCTCCAATGCTGCCGCCGCCATCTTCGTCGTTCTCCTCCATCTATAACTGCTATGAAAGCATCATCGGTGACTGATCGAAACCAAACCAACAAAGATCGGGCACCGAACTGTTGGTTTTCTCATTCCGTCAATTGGTGCTTGGTTTTCATTTTTTTTTAAAAACTGATCAGTGACCGAACCGATCAAAATTGTCGGTCAACGACCAATGTACAACCTTAGCTATGGCAAATGTCAATCCATAAGATAAGAAAAATGCGTGGCAGAAAGACTAAATGTCTCAATCACGTATTCTTTTTTAGAATATTTTAGTGAAATAAGCAATTTAGCGCACAATTAATTTGGTGAAATAATTAGCATTATCGTCAATGAGAAAAATAATAGTGAAAGAAACAATTTAAATTTTTAGCACAATTGTCCCCCAAATTTGTTGTGGTTTAACAAATTGCCTCCTAAACTTTCAATGTTGATAATCAACCTTCTAAATTTGTAAAATTGTTGCACTGTGCACAATTTTACTAAATTTGTTTAATTTTTTTTTTTAGATTTATGAGATTAAAAGTTAAGAAATTTAAAGATTTGCGTTACATTTAAATTGAGATGTTAGAATTTTTCATCAAACGTGTTTTTTTTTACACTAATTTAACATAATCATCATCAAAACATGACACATTGCAACAATTTTACAATTTAAAAGGGCAACTTAGAAAAATTAAAAATTCATTGGGTAAATTACTAAAACCATACAAATTCAAGAGACAAATATATAAAATACATAAACAATTTCATGTCACATATTACTATTCTATTTCATTAGCATTATCATCAAAATTATTTTCCTTGATAACAAAATTATTTTTTTGATACAATAACAAAATTAATTTTGGAATCAACAAACATTGTTTTTTTTTTTTCGATAAAAAATTTGTTGATTTAAGTGTTGATTTTCATGATATTGCTAAAAAGATTGTTTGTAGGTAATATTTACAAAAAAAAAAATATTTATACGAGATATTGAAAATCCATAATGACTCAAAACGAGAATGGTTCATGATTTATGGTTATTTATAGTGTTTTTTTTCTTATAAAAAACACATAAAAATTAAAAATAATTCTAAATTAAGATTCTGAATTCATAACTAAACGTGCACTTAATTTTTTAATAGAATAGACAAACTACATTATTATCCCAGATAGGGAAAAAAAATACTTCTTTATAATGAAATTTTATTTTTTAAACCTAAAAAATATAAAACATAAAAAGTCATTAAAACCCCTTTCCTTCTCTCCATCTTCCCTTCCCTCGTCCCTTCCTTCCTCCTCCGTCGTTCACTCTGGTCGGCGACAAACGCTGTGAAAGTACCAAAACACTCCGACCTTCTTCCCCAAAGCGCCCCCCAAACCCTAGAATTCGAACCAGAGAGATTCGCGTTTCATGGTTTCTTGAAGAATCCGAATCAGAGCTTCAATCATGGGCCGCCCGGAGCCGTGCGTGTTGTTCGCTCAGAACTTCGTCCATTCCCATCTTGACGAATACGTCGACGAGGCTAGTTTCTCTCTCTAACTCACTCACTCACTCTCTCTCTCTCTCAACAATTTCTGTTTCAATTGTTCACTTTTCGGCTAATTTCAGTTTTCTTCATGAAATTCGTCGCTTGTCGAAGTACAGATTTGTTTCACTTGTTAATTTTATGCTATTTTGTCATTTTTGTGTTTATTGGTTTATAATTCTATTATTTGAGTGTTACTAATTTGATGTTAATTGTCTTTTTCAGGTGTTGTTTACCGAACCGGTTGTGATTACTGCTTGTGAGTTCCTGGAACAGAATGCTTCTTCAACTTCCCAATCAGTTACACTTGTCGGGTATGTGCCACTAGGAACCTACAAAAAAGTATATGAATTTCAAGCAAAATAACGGAAAATCGAAAAGAACCCAACTTTAAATATGATATTGGATGATGAGAATTGTATGGTAGTTAGGTCAGTTAGTTAGTTGACTTAGTTTATATCTTGATTCTTTTTGAATTTAGATTGTTTTTATTGCCCGCGTTCGTTCTTCGGAAATAGAAGAGGTTTTCATTTTTTATGTCAAGAGGAGGAAATGTAGTAGAGAAGTGTTTGTGTTGGTTGATATGGTTCATTTGTGAATATCTCTTTTCAACTTTGAGGGTTTTGTGTGATATTTTATGAGAAGAGGTTTGTGGAGTGTTTGTTCTATGATGCTCAAGTGACATTGTGTGTTAGCTTTTGATGTATTCTTTTGGTGCATTTTATTTTATAGGGCTACTTCACCTCCTTCTTTTGCTCTAGAGGTGTTTGTTCAGTGCGAGGGAGAGACGAGGTTCAGGCGGCTCTGTCAGCCTTTTCTGTATTCTCATTCATCGTCAAATGTGCTAGAAGTAGAGGTAATTTGTTGCATTATTCTGTTTCTTTTTCCTGTTTGGATTTTCTATTGTATTGCACTATAGAGATCTCTGGCAAAGAAGTTCTTTGCGAACTATTGTGGAGCACAAATGAGAGTTAGTAGTTGTATTTTGAGTAATGCTATTGGGCATTGGTGGTGCTCAGCACCACCTACTAATAAAATGTGGGTCCCGCAGTGTGTGGGTCCCACCTTCTATTAGTGGTGGTGTTTAGCACCATGGTGTCCCCAAGCATTTTTCTTGTATTTTAGTGGAAGTCAAAACATTCGCTCATGGAGGGAGGAATTTTTTGTTAAATACTTTTATTGAATGCATAAGTTCGTTCACTCAAGGTACATGTGACTAATCATATGTCAATGGCAACCACCAAGCATTGGTATGTTCTTGGAAGAGAGAGGTGGAGAGGGATGGACTGGGGCTCAGTTTTGTAATGTCATAAGTGTTTTCTCAGGGGGACTCTTCCTCTGTCGTACTTGTACATAATTTTTTAATCATTAATGAAGTTTCTTCTCTGTTTGAAAAAAAGAAAAAAGAAAAAGAAAGGTGGAGTGCAGATGAAACAAGATGTCAAAACAGCTTTATACAATGCTTGAACTTAAATTCTTGCTTAGTTTTCCCATTTAAGAGGCTATTCACCTAGGCCTTACCGTTTAAATTTGTCTATGCGTTTCAGAACTTAACCCTTTTTTGGTTACTTTTTTATTGACTATTCTTTAAGTTCTTTCTGTCATTGTAGTGCTTATAGGAGTTAGCACCTTTATTTGCAGGCTATTGTCACTAACCATCTGGTTGTAAGGGGTAGTTACCGTAGTCTGAGTTTGGTCATATATGGAAATACAGCGGAGGATCTGGGCCAATTTAACATCGAATTTGATGATAGCTCCATAAGTAATCTTGTTAGCTCAGCTGATGGCAAACTTGAGGACCTTCCTTTGGCTTTACGTTCATCTAGTTTGACAATGGAACAACCTATTTCAGCTTTGAAGGCTTTGTCTCTGCCTTCCCCTCCACCAGATATGTCTATTGAGGCTAAGCAACTTTTACAGCTAATGTTGAAGATTTGGGAGTTGCCAAATCTAGCGAATGGATTGTCTAAAATTGTTAGCATTTTAGTCTCAATAGCATCATCTTGTGTCACCCATGCTTGGGGCAGGTCGAATAATTATGAACAATTGCAGAGTGTTATTTGTGAAGCCAGAAAGGATCTTTTTGAGCTCTATAAACATGAGGCAGGGGAGGCATCTGTCAACTTGTTGGAAGATGGCTCTTTTCTTGAATCCGAGACTGATTTGACTGCTTCCAAACAGTTGGTCGATATGTTAAGGAACTACTTCTGTTTTAGGAGGGAGTCCACATGTGTCGGGAATCACCAGATCTCACAGGTGATTTTAACTATATATAGTATATATATGTATATATGTATATATACATATTTGTTTATATTCTGTCGTTCGTCCTCTTACTAAATTGCTGATACACATAAGCAGTTCTCTCTCTTCCCTCCTTTCCTGCCTTATAATCATTTTTGATTCATTTCTTGATTTTCAGAGTACATATGTCATTTTGGGATTAAGTGTGACTCTTCTTCTGTGCTCTGGTCGAGCAAGCTGCTTTCATTTTGTCAATGCTGGGGGATTGGAGCAGGTTGCCCATGTTCTTGGCCACGACCGGCAGAATTCCACTGCTACCACATTACTGTTACTTGGAGTTGTTGAACAGGCTACAGGGTATTCTTTTGGTTGTGAAGGCTTTTTAGGTTGGTGGCCTCGCGAAGATGAAAACTTTCCAACTGGTACTAGTGAAGGTTATACTGGATTAGTGAATCTGTTGTTAGAACCACCACGATATGCTGTTGCTTCTCTTGCAACTAATGTTCTTTATCGGTTAAGATTCTATGAAGTTGTTTCAAGATTTGAGGTATACATTTCAGTTTAGGTTTAGCACATTTCTGCATGGCACTAAAACTATTGAATTGGTATGCTCTGACAGTATTGGTTTTTGCAGTCTGCAGTTCTATGTATACTGGAAGGGATTTCTACTGGTGATAGGGTTACAACTACTATGGACATGCTTATCAGTGCAAACTCTCAACTCAAAAAGCTCTTGGTCAGTTGAACTTTTTGTTGCTTTCTCTTCTGGCCATGTATGAAACACGTAATATATAGTTCCTCTTTCCATTGTCAAATAAGTTTTTATTTTTAATTCTTAGTTCATTGTTGTTGACAAGTATTCTGCAGAAATCGATAAGTTCATGTAGTCCAATTGAAGACCCTTCTCCAGTGGCCCGTGCAGCCAGGTTACTGAATCTGGGGCAAACAGAAGGTTTGTTGTCATATAAGGCATCCAGTAGCTTGATTGGATCATCAGATTGTTGCTTTTCAAATAGGGATGTTGATTTACATTTGCTGACACTTCTCAAGGTACACTACCCTCTTAGTGTTCCTTTTATAGTGTTCTTTTTTCTGGTTATTAAATTATTTTTGAACTTGAACTGAGAGGTTTTTAGGGGGCAAAATACTTTTTTCTTAATTAGTTATGGAGTCTATAAAAATTATGGCTACAAGCATACAAACACATATGCCTTCATTGTAATTGTTTTAGCAATGAACAGTAGTTAATTACCAAAAAAAAAGGCGCACACACATATTTTTTGACATCTTCTGATTGAGTCTTATACTAGTTTCATTGAAGTTAGATATTTGAGGATATATATTTATTGTTCTCTTTTTCTACGTTTCAAATATTGATTTTCCCCCTTTTTGGGTGCTATATTGTCTTTGATGCAGGAGAGGGGCTTTCTACCTCTATCAGTTGCATTGTTGTCAGCATCTACATCAACTTCAGAAGTGGGACATGCTATGGATGTACTTGTGGATATTGCATCATCTATTGAGGCCATAATTATGGCGCTGCTTTTTTCTCGCTCAGGTCCTTTATTACCATCTGTTATAGTTACTTCTTGATATATGTGTGTGTGTGTTTGAGATCTAGATATCCTTATATTCACAAAATATGTTTCCTTAACCTCTTAACCAGGTCTCATTTTCCTGCTACAACAACCTGATCTTTGTGCAACATTGATGGATGCCCTAAAAGGTGCTGATGATGCAAACAAGGATACTTGTCTTCCGCTTAGATATGTATCTGTTTTAACTGCCAAGGGTTTCTTGTGTAGTTCTAAGGAAGTTGGGATGATAATCAGGATGCATTTGAGGGTGGTTAGTTCCTTTCCTCATTCAAGCTTCTAAATGCTATCTTTTTCGATAAAAAAGATTAAAATAAAAAATTGAATGTTTTCCTGTTAAAGACCGGCTGCTAAAACAGCAGATTTTCATGTTTTTGTGCAGGTTAATGCCATAGATCGGTTGCTTACATCATCTCCGCATTCGGAAGAATTTTTATGGATCTTGTGGGAACTATGTGATTTTGCAAGGTGGTACTTCTTAACTTAAGTTGCTATTTTGGATTGCAACACAATATTAATGGTTTTGGTTTCTCATCCTTTGCAGGTCTGATTGTGGACGACAGGCTTTATTGGCTGGGGGGTATTTTTCCGAGGGGTTTCTCATCCTTTGCAGGTCTGATTGTGGACGACAGGCTTTATTGGCTGTGGGATATTTTCCCGAGGTACCGACTCAAATACTATCTCAAAAGTAAAGTTGTATGTTACCTGGAACCATAAAACTCTCTGTTTTATATAAACAGTCACCGTAGGGAAGGAAACAAACAGGCGTGATCATTGTTAAGTATAATTTATTCATATTTACTTTTTTTAGTGTATATTATTTTCCAAGTATCCATGATAATATAAAGGTACTCTCTCACTACTGACCTATTTGGATGGCACATGGACTGTGTTCAATTCATACTCAGGCCTTTGATACACATGCGGAGGAACTTATTACCTAAGCTTGGTGTAATTTTCAGTACTCTTTTAAGATAGTTTCAAATTTAGCATCAATATCATGTATGCAGCCCCTAATGCTTTCCGAACTTTAGGAATGCAGCTGTTATCCAGTCTTGTGAATCTTGTTCTCCATGTAATCATTGTTAAATCATCGTGTGTAGTTACATGCTTTAGTTTTTTGTAACAATTTAATTGTATGCTCTGTAGGCCATGAAAATTTTGATTGAAGCATTGCATTCTGTCAAGGAACCAGAGCAAGTTGCCAATAATAGCGGTAATGCGCTAACTCTAGTTGTGTTTGAAATTAGCTTCTTGTTCACTACTCTTTACTTTTGGATTTATTCGCTTGTTTTTCTGGATACTCAGGAGCTTTGCCCCTAAATCTCGCAATATTTCACTCAGCTGCTGAGATTTTTGAAGTAATTGTTGCTGATTCAACTGCATCTTCTCTTGGTTCTTGGATTGGACAAGCAATAGAACTCCATAGGGCTTTACATTCCTCATCTCCAGGATCTAATAGAAAAGATGCTCCTACAAGGCTGTTGGAATGGATTGATGCTGGTGTAGTCTATCATAAAAATGGGGCTATTGGGCTTCTGCGGTACGCTGCTGTCTTAGCTTCTGGAGGAGATGCTCTCTTAAATTCGACTACCACAATAGTGTCAGATTTGACTGATATAGAAAACATTATTGGAGATTCCTCCAACGGCTCTGACATTAATGTGATGGAGAATCTTGGAAAATTCATCTCTGAGAAGACTTTTGATGGAGTAATCCTCCGGGACTCTTCTGTAGTACAGTTGACAACAGCTTTAAGAATTTTGGCTTTCATTTCTGAGAACTCGGTATGTAACTGTACATTTCAGATGGTTCTAATTTATAATTGCAAATCTATATGTTGCTTATCCATTTTTTTGTTGAATATAGTCTGTCGCTGCTGCTCTCTACGATGAAGGTGCGATAACGGTCATCTACACTCTTCTGGTCAACTGTAGGTTCATGCTTGAGAGGTCTTCAAACAGTTATGGTATGTGGCTTATATGTTTGTATTTCTTTTGCTGTGAACGCTTTTGTTGCTTGCTATCAGTGATGCGCTACTAACTTGTGCAATTTTAAAATTTTGACCAAAGAGTCTATGTTGTAATTTTATGAACATTTCTAATCCAATTTTTCAAACGTATTTTGTTTCTTGGACAGATTACCTTGTTGATGATGGCACAGAATGCAATCCTTCATCAGATTTACTATTGGAACGTAATCGCGAGCAGGGTTTAGTTGATCTTTTGGTTCCTTCCCTTGTGTTGTTGATCAACCTCTTGCAGAACTTACAGGTTTGCTGCATTTAGTTAATCCTCTTTAGAAACAAAACTGCCTTTTGTTTCAGAATGGCTTACATTCTTATCATTTGGGAAGAGGACATATGGATGAAGAAGTACTGTTAAGAAATATTAGCCACTTCCCTCCATTTGGGATCATGGGTGACTGCCTATCAATCTCAACCAATTGCCTAACAATCTCAATGGATCAACTGGTGATTAACGGGAGGGAGAAAACAAAGAACATGCTATTGTAGATCTAAACCTCCCCCCAAGAACACAAAAATCTCAACCCTCACTCCAACCCTCTTTTTTTTTTCATTAATCAAAAGTAGATCTGTGTATGCTTTTAAACAATGGAAGGAAGAATTTGGCACAGAAAACTCAAAGCATTAATATGACTGTTACTTTTGGATCTAAAATGTGGGATTATACACATTCTATTTTCTTGAAATTACACGCGATTAAAGCAATTGTCCTGATTTTTGTTTGAAGGTTTGAGTTATTTCATTGTTAATTATAGGAAGCTGAAGAGCAGCATAGAAATACCAAACTAATGAAGGCCCTGCTTCGACTACATCAAGAAGTTAGGTAAGGACATATTTTCTTACCCTTGTTATGGCTGTGGCAATATTTTTTTTTGTATGATCTAATTTGATTCCGTTGAACACAGTCCAAAGTTAGCAGCATGTGCTGCAGACTTATCCTCCACTTATCCGGACTCTGCCCTTGGTTTTGGGGCTATTTGCCATCTCGTTGCATCGGCACTTGCTTGTTGGCCAGTATATGGCTGGTCTCCCGGTCTCTTCCATTCCCTCCTTGCGAGCATTCAATCTACTACACTGCTGACGTTGGGTCCCAAGGAAACCTGCAGCTTGCTCTATCTTCTGGTGAGTTACATTCCATTTTCTTTGTTATTGTTGTTGTTGTTTTTATTTATTTATTTAATTTTTTGTGCTAATATGATTGGTGAGCTAACCATATGTATAAATATGTATATATATACAAGTAAATTACATAAGCTGGCCTTACCTTTTGCTAAGCTTGCCAAGAAGCAACTAGCAAGAAGAAGATTGGTTAGCTCCTAATTGTGCTTGTAAGAGGTATTGTTATCTATGCACTGGATTATATTGGTTACTGCTGAGCCGCTGCCCTAAAAAATTGCAAACTACTTTATTGTTATGGGTGATGAAGATAAATGGATTACAGATAATCTTGAATACTTTTAGTGCTCTGTTTCAGAAATGTGAATAGACTAGTTTGAGTACTTTGGCGTTTTGCCTTTATGGGACAAGGTATAAGCTTAATTTGTGTTGAGGCTTATGAAAGAGAAAAAAAAAATTGAAAAATTAAAAAAATAGCTATCAAGACAAAAACACATCTCCAACAGCCATGCAAAGAACAAAGTAAACATATATAATGGAAAATAAGTAGGATTTTCGGTTGGACAACATCAAAAGTGATATAAATGAAAAGAGTGAGCTTCGCCTATGTTTTACTCAGCACAATCAGTTCGCCTCAACCTGATTTGGAGAAATCCTTTTAATTTTCACCTTGAGCCGTAAGCCTCGAGGCTAAAAATTTTGCTTAAACCTGTGGCGCCTCAACTTATCCTTTCAAAACAATTCCCAAAAAAAAAAAAAAATCATATCAGCCTTCATTATTTTTTTATTATGAAGGGTTATTGATTGTTACTTATCTTCTTGGACACTGGGTATGTTGATGCTGCTACAGGATTTTAACTGTGTAATAGATCTAATTTGCAATTTTTTTTACCCTCACTTCTAACTGCTCTTTCCCCATTTTACTTTTTTTCTTTCTGGCAATGCTAGAATGATTTTTTGCCCGAAGAAGGTGTATGGCTTTGGAGAAATGGTTTGCCTTTGTTGAGTCCCCTTAGAGCATTGTCTGTTGGGACATTATTGGGACCTAGGAAAGAAAGCAAGGTCAACTGGTATCTTCAGCCTGTGCACCTGGAGAAGTTGCTTGGTCAATTGATGCCACAGCTTGACAAAATTGCCCAGATTATCCAGCATTATGCTATCTGTGTACGTCACTTCCCATATGATTGTTGTTTCCCTTCTCTTGTTAGAACTTTCAACAGAGAAGGGTGGTGTGTGTAATTTTGTTACCTTTAATGCTGGTTGTTTGTATCACGTCGTATAACTAATGATATTCCTCTTTATAGGCACTTTCCGCAATTCAAGACATGCTACGTGTTTTTATTGTACGCATTGGGTTCCAAAAGCCCGAAACATTTTCTGTGCTTCTGCAACCCATATTGTCATGGGTCAATGAACGTGTTTCTGATTCGTCTTCATCTGAATTGGATGTCTTCAAGGTCAAGTTGTCTTCTCACTATTACCATCCTGCAAATAAAGCTACTTTGATAAAATTCAATGTTTTTCCTTGTTCTTTTCAGGTTTACAGATATCTTGATTTTCTTGCTAGCTTATTGGAGCATCCACATACCAAGGTTCTTATCTATTGCTAGCTTTTGGTCTTGAAAATGTTTGTTGGCTGTGTGTGGATCCCTTTTTCTGTTCATGTATGGAGAAACAGATTTAGCTTATTAATTTACCTCTTTGTCAGGCATTCTTGTTAAAGGAGGGTTTCATTCAGATGCTAACTAGAGTGCTGAGGAGGTGTTTTGCTGCCACTGATTCAGATGGCAAACAAATTTTAGATGGTAGAAGTTCAGCTAAATGTGGATCTACTATGCTTAGTTGGTGTGTTCCTGTATTCAAGTCCTTCTCACTATTATGGTCTCCTCAAACATCTAGACACCATGCTGGAAAGTATAATTTGTGAGTAATTTATTTACATATTATTTACTCTCTCTCTCTCTCTCTCACACACACACACACACACACACACACACACACACACTAAGAGCTAGACTACATTGTTGAACAATGCATTCTCTAAAATACTCTAGCGGTGTATCAGGAATGATTTTGAAAAAGCAAGCACTGAAGACTCTCTGACGATATTATCTTATCTCCTCAAGTTCTGTCAGGTAGTTTCCTGCTCCTTTTACGTACATAAGTACATATATATATATATATATATATATATATATGCACATACAAATATACTGAGTTAATCTGCTATTTATCTTCTGCAGGTGATTGAATCCTTTTGTGTATGCTTTATCTATAAACACACACACATACACATATGTATACATATATATATAAATGCATATCTTCGGAAGATGGGAAAAAAATATAATTGTTGACATTCTTTTAGGCATATTGATTACTGATGATAATTGGATGTCGTTTTTCCCCAGGTCCTACAAGTTGGAAAAGAGTTACTTGCATGTCTTACTGCTTTCAAAGAATTAGGTTCCTCTACTGTGGGTCAGAGTTCTTTGGCAGCTATTTTTCATCGTATCGTATCTGGAAATGAGGAACTTGGATCACACAAAAGATATGAAAGGGACAGCATTGGAAATTACGGTTTTCTTAATGAATTTGAATGGAGAAAAAAGCCCCCTTTGCTGTATTGCTGGAAGAAATTGTTGCAATCAATTGATAAAGATGGTTGTACAGATTATGCAATTGAGTCTATCAGTGCATTGTCTTTGGGTTCTTTATTCTTTTGTATGGATGGGAAAAGGTGAGTTCTTACTTGTTGGCAACTTACATGTTATAGCGCACTCTTGGATTTTGATGTAAACTAAATATAGAAATAAGTTATCATTATCACTATGATTTTCAATTTTCATTTTTGTCTTCAGAGTTTAGTCTTTGCTTTTCTTTCTTTCTTTTTTCTTTTTTTTTTTGGGTGATTTTTTTATTTATTTATCGTTTTCCTCTAGCAGTTTATATTTAAGTGCATTGTCTCTTCATCTATTACTTTAGGACAACCTAGTGTTGACATTGGTTAGTGTAATGGAATTTCAAGTAATTTTAAACAAAAGCAGTATTAAGGTTGTGACTTCTATCCATCTTGTTTTATCAAGCCACTCTGAACTTCTCTCATATACTTTATCAAGTAGTGGTTTGTAATTATGCTCTTACCGAAAAGTTCAAAGTAATTTCTTGGTTTTTGTTCTTACAAGTTTTTCTTTTCCCCTAAATCCCTCGTTTTTTTATTTCTAAGAAGGTTATAGGTCTATTAGCAGAGTTTATTCTGCCGTCTTCTGAAAAACTTTCCCCACCTCTCATAGAATTTGGTTATTTCTGAAAAGTTTTTGTACATTGCTTCCGTTGGATTTCATTAATTGACCAGACTTATGATTTGCTTGTTGCGCAGTTTGAATTTGGATCAGGTGGTTGCCTTGAAATTTCTTTTTGGCATTACTGATGCTAGAGATGGAACAGATGGGGCTCCTGAAGAAAACATAAACGACCTACATGAATTAACATCTCTATTGAATTCAAAGATTGAAGCTGATAAATATATAGCCGACCATGATAAGCAAACTGCTATATATCAGGCAAATTAATTTGAAATTTATACTTCTGAAGTACTTTCGTTCTCCTGTATTCTGCTAATTACTGATGTTGTCAACGTTCTACAGGTTTTAGATACTACAAAGTCTTTGTTGTTGATGCTGCAAAAGCCTGCTGGTTCAGTAACAGTGGATGATGTATTTTCTAGTGATGGGGTTCCTGCGACGTCTGATGAGGTCCTGTTTTCTTTAAACATCCATTTGATGTCAGATGTCAGCACCAAAAAGTCTGAAGACAATCTTTTTCTAGGATTTGAAGAAAAATTCCTGTGGGAATGCCCAGAAACACTACCTGATAGGTTATCACAGACGACACTTTCTGCAAAAAGGAAAATGCCATTGGCGGAAGGTTCGAATAGGCGTGCTAGAGGAGAAAATTTACCAGCAGAGATTTCAACCCAAAATTCATTTGCTCGAGGATTGGGGTCATCCACTACTTCTTCTGCTCCTACTCGGAGGGATACCTTTCGGCAGCGCAAACCAAACAGTAGCAGGCCCCCCTCTATGCACGTGGATGACTATGTTGCAAGAGAAAGAAATGTTGATGGTGTTGCTAACTCTAATGTAATTGCAGTCCAGCGAGTAGGAGCTACTGGTGGAAGACCTCCTTCGATTCATGTGGATGAATTTATGGCTAGACAGAGGGAGCGCCAGAATCCTGGGTCAGCGGTTGTTGCGGATCCAACAACACAGGTGAAGAATGCCGCTCCTTTGAGTGAGACAGCTCCAGAGAAGTCCAGTAAACCTAAGCAACTGAAGACGGATATTGACGATGATCTTCATGGGATTGATATAGTTTTTGATGGTGATGAGTCTGAATCTGATGACAAATTACCATTTCCTCAGCTGGACGATAATCTGCAGCAGCCTGCTCCTATGATCGTTGAGCAAAATTCTCCACACTCTATTGTTGAAGAAACAGAGAGTGATGTTCATGAGAGTAGTCAATTTTCATGTTTGGGTACACCCTTAGCATCTAATGTGGATGAAAACACACACAGTGAATTTTCTTCCAGGATGTCAATTTCACGTCCTGAAAAGCCATTGACTCGAGAACCAAGTGTTTCTTCAGATAAGAAGTATTTTGAGCAGTCTGACGACATGAAGAATGTCATAACAGTCAAGACTTCTGGCGGGTTTGATTCTTCTGCAGCGATAAACAATCCTCGGTTTCCTGGTTCTGTATATAGTAATGCATCTACATCATTACCGCATTTACCTGTGGATATTAGGATGACTCCCCAAAATTTACCTCCCAAGAACATCCCACAACCTGCTATTACCGTACCTGTAGCTACAGGGTCTCAAGGGCTTTATGACCAGAGGTTTCTGTTAAATCAACCTCCTTTACCTCCAATGCCACCACCTCCAACAGTTGCACCTGTGATATCTCAGAGTTCTGATTCAGTTCCAAACCACTCATCCCCATATGTGAATTCTATGACTGATGTCCAGCAGCCGTTTCCACCGGGTTTCCAAGTATGAGAAATGAGTCTTTTCTTAAAGAATTTTTTGTTTATGAATGGCGACATCTTTCTGGTACATATGCATTCATGTAACAACTTTGTTGTTGTTTTCTTTCTTCTCTTTTTTTTTTTATTTGACAGGTTAATCCGGAGTATCTTTCCACATTCAACAACAGTTCCACATCGTTAGGGTCTTCCCTTCCCATGGCAGATTCTAAGTTCTCAAGGACTTCCATCACTTCTCCTGGTGGATGTGCTAGGCCACCTCCCCCACTTCCTCCTACACCACCTCCTTACTCATCTAGTCCATATAATATGGCATCAAACAAAACTCTTACTTCTCAATCTTTAGCGCACAATCAGATGGGTATTGGAACAGCTGAGCTTCCTCAGAGCTCTGTTGCACCTTCTTCATCCGGGGCCAGAGCAAATGCTTATGCAGCTCTTCCCCAACTACAACACCCTGCTTTTAATAGGCCGGGTTCAATCCCTGTGAATCTTTATGGAAACTTTCCAACTCAGCAGGCTGAAAATCCTCCAAGTATCTTGCAGAATCTCTCCATTCCTCAGTCCTCCATTCAGTCTATTCATTCCCTTGGTCAGTTGCAGCCGCTGCAGCCGCCTCAACTTCCACGTCCTCCACAGCCACCCCAACACCTTAGGCCACCTATTCAAGCTTCTCAACAGTTGGAACCAGGGGTGTCCTTGCAAAGCCCTGGTCACATGCAAATCCAGTCCTTACAGATGCTGCAACAACCACAAGTTCGCCCCATGAGCACGTTTTACCAATCCCAGCAGCAAGAGTTTTCTCATGCACTGAAGCAACATCAAATTGAACATGCTCAACCTCAAGTCATGAACCCATCTATGGAGACTCCATCTCAACAGCAACAAGATTCAGGGATGTCATTACAGGAGTTTTTCAAGTCTCCAGAAGCTATTCAGGTATTTTGATTGTTTTTATTTTTATTTTTTATTTTATTTTATAGATCTAGAGGTGTTCATAGTTAGTTGGTTTGAGGGGAAAATCCACCTATCAAACGAAAAGTAATCTATTTTTAATTGGTTTTGCGCATTTTGAAATTTTTAGATGAAACAAAATCATACCAAATTATGTATAATCAGTTTGTTTTGATCACTTTAGACTTATAATTAGAATAAATCTTGACATGTAAAAAACTTGAGTTGATCTTGTAAATTAAGCATTTTTTTTTATAGAATTTTTAACTATTTAAAATGTCTCAAATTATAAAAACATAAGAAAACAGCTTAAAAGATAACATCTATGAATATAGAGAGAAATACAAGTATGAGAAATATTTTTTCTAAAAAGATTATAAAAGAACTTTTGGTCTTTTTCCATGGCTTGAAATATGTAAAACCATTAACAAGCCTTGAAAAAAAAAATGGAAAATTTCAAATTGACCAAACCAAACCAATTGAAATAAAAGCTAATTGGTTTGGTTTGATTTAGCTTGGTCAGTTTCTGAGGTTCTTTTGATTTCTTGAACACTCCTAATTTACAAGCCAAAAATTTTAGATGCGTTTGATCGGTAATACCTTGTTATATCTTCAGTTTTGTTTATATTTCATCCTTGGCAGTCTTTGTTGAGTGACCGGGATAAACTATGCCAGCTTTTGGAGCAGCATCCAAAGTTAATGCAAATGCTTCAGGTATTCTCTCTGATATTTGTAAATATCCTTTTGGGAACTTTCTGTATAATTTGCATTACTACTATCTCCTTATGTTATGCTCTTCTGATACGGCGACTTCTTGTGGCTTGCAGGAGAGATTGGGCCAACTATAGGGAGAAGATATAGAAGTAAAGGATGCTCGGACTTGGGGGCCTATAGCTACTTGTCCTGTAAATTAAAATGCAGCTCTAGTAGGATTTAGCTTCATTCAATCACTTTTTACCCCCTGAAATTTTGTACTATTGATGTACTATAAAAATTTTTGTTTTGTAATTTTGTTCTTTGTGTGCGGTGGCCTGGTTACGCAGGATTGCGACCCTCGATGGTTCTTGACCTGCTCTCAACCTTAAATGGTTTGGAACCTTGGTTCGGGTCTTCTACTAAATGCAAGAAGGCCATGCCCGTGGACGACGTTTTACATGATGTGTTTCATTCTTTTTTGGTGTATCATTGAATTCCTTGCCTTTTTTCTTTAAAAGATGTAATTACTTAGTCCTCACCTAATTCATCCGTGGCAAATGCATTTCGTCTATAGTTTCTAGTTTGTTTATGTAGCCCAAGCTTCTCACAAGATAAAAGTGAAGAATTCTTGGATTGCGGAATTAATTCTCCTTTGAGGGGTAATGCTAATTTTTAGTACTGTGCTTTTTGCTTAACTAATTTTTGTCGAGATAATATTCTCACACAAAACATGAGTTAAGGTTCGCAGAATTGACCAGACTAAAAAATGTGTCAATTTTACGTTCTCGGGTTGAGGGGTAATGCTAATACTGATTCTCAAATTGACTCGATTATGACGTCAACACAAGTGGTCATATTTTCTTATATACATAAAACATTATGCAAATATTATATTGTACCACTAGGCTGGTTATGAGAGGAGAGAGTACCAACTTGGTATAAGTTTGAGAAATTGTCTGGTTAATTAGTCATGGTTTCTTCAGATGGTCTGGCGAAGTCTGAAGAGGGCTAGTGCTTTGGTCGGGTTGTGGTTGTTACTAAACTTACAACCCATGCGTAAGGTTCGAATTATTGTTTGGAACTCTTTTGCTACAGGATTTTCTCTCATAAAATTTAAATTTTTGTTCAAATTTTTATATTCAAACCAATGAATCAAACGGGAATGTTCTTTTCCCATAAGAAATTGGACCTTCTAATCTTTCTTTTATCTTTTCCCGGGTAATGGAGTTTTGTTTCCCCCCTCTTTTTCCCTGAAGCAGTAGTCAAACTAAGCCAATATCTTACTCATCAGGGAGTTTCGCCTTTAAACAATGTGAATGCTCTGAATATATATATATATATATTTAGTAGGCCCTACCTTGTATGTATTTAGTTACCAACTACCAAGCTTCACTTCCTAGTGAGTGTCCGACATCCACGTCATTGCTCTCATTAATCTCGTTCTAAGATACACATGAAAATAGGATTAGATTTTAGGACCCTAAGAAATACTGCTTGCCAAGCATGTTATGTTATTTTATTGGTTTCCTTCTCTATTGACATTCTCACAAGTCACAATACTCTGCATAAACCATTGCACTGCAAAAGGTGATTATTTTATTTTATGTTCACAAAAGCTACGGATCCGAGAAGCCCATGATCCAAGAGATCCTTTCTAAGTTGCGTATCCGTAACAACCGACTTATGAGACATTCCTCCTTTAAGAAATGCTAGTCCCCACGCTTGAACCATGCATTATTTTATAGTTTAATTCCTTTCAATATTGTTCTAATATGTTCAAAGTCAATATAACTACAAAGATTAAGGTTGCGTTTGGTATGAGAGTTCAAATCATGATGGATTTAATTTTAAAACTAGAATCATGATTTATGGTTTGATGTTGGAGTCTAAACCATAGTTCTAGACCGGAATCAGATTTAGAGGTTTGAACCATCTAAAATCAAGGGGGAGGTAATTTTATTTTTTTGGGTGGTTCTGGTTTAAAACATTACATCATAATTCAAACATTGAATTAAAACCATTTCAATAACTATTTTTTACTTTTTGCAAACAAACAAAGGTTTGAACCAGAATCACGTTTCCGGTTCTAAAACCCTCGTACCAAACGCAACTTAAATAACAAGAATCATGCCAACCCTAGTTACTCCACATATAAATATAGCTATATATATATATATATATCACATTACTTCTAAGTGGTACCCTGCACTAGGAGTAAAAATGTTTTGATCTTCTCGTAAATTTCTGTTTAGAATTTCAGAAAAATGAACTAAATTTTAGAATATGTACTGCAAAAGTAATCTTTTTTGGTGAATTCGTTAGATTAGATATATATAATTATTTACGTAATTGAAATTAGATAGATTAGATTAGATATATATCGTACTAAACCAATAACTTTTCAAGATCAATTAATAATAGGCTTTACAAAGTCCATCCACCACAAGCTCTCCTAAATTTTGAAGTGATAACAGGGAGGGGCATTCCAGATTTATTCTTTTCCTTGAACACTCTTTAAATTCAAGACCTTCTTTTCTCACTCAAAAATAAAACAATAGAAGCATTATTTTTATAAAGGAGCATAGAATTTGATTTAGATAATTTGTCTAAATTTAGCATCAATTATATTATGTCACATCATTTAATGAACTGTAAATTTAAAAGAATGAAATAAATATAAAATTTTTAAAGAATGTGATATAATATGATTGGTTAGATATTATTTAGCACTTTGAAATTAGATTAATAATTTGGGAGCCATGGAATTAAAAACAAAGATTAAGGGGGATTTATTTCCTAATTTGTCATTTTTTTTCCGATCACTCCACTAAGGGAACCAATGCAAAGATCATGTACAATTTTTTTAACGAGAAAAGTACATGCTTATTATTAGTACCATTGTGGCCTTTTATTTTCTTTTTATTAATTAAATAAAAATTATTTATTTTTAATAAAGTAATATAAATAGTACTTTTTACCATCTTAGATTGGTTTTTTTTTTCCCATTTTTAACTTATTAAACAAAAAAAAAAAATCAAAATCAAAATCAAAATCCCACTCAACAAGGAGGGTTTTGCTTGTAAAGAGGACATAAAATCTTTGGGATTGGAGGGTGAATGAGAATTAGGAGAACATTGGAGTTCTCAATTAGTACTCAAAAACTTATAAATTTGTTAGTCCCTTCTTATTAGTTAGTAGGAGGTCTTGTCTGCTCCTCCAAGGCACCTAAAATGAGCCTCTCGAGGCATTTGCTTCCCTTATCACCCTCATCCCAACCAATACCCTTCTGCCACGTATCCCAAACACCGACACTTTCTATCAGCCGTAGGAGCAGAGACTCATCACCCATTATATGTATATGTGTATGTATAATATCGTCCTTAACGGCACAGGAATCCCCACAACTTGTGCACTCTCATGTGCGCGGGTGCACACAAATTCCCAAGAATCCCCCCACCATTAGACATGTGCATAAAATTAGGAACCTTAAATCGACCCACTACACGTGCATGGCGAGAAAACAGTTATCGTACCCCATATAACCCTAATGACGCCATTTCATGGTTGCCCAACTTACTCCCTCTCTCTCTAAAGCCTTCAGGAGAGAGAGAGAGAGAGAGAGAGAGAGAGAGAGAGAGAGAGAGAGAGAGAAAGCGAGAGAGTGATAGAGTCATTGTCTTCCAAGTGTTTGAAAAAAGGCCTCAATGAAGAACGGTATTATTTGCAATGGAGAGAGTTTGGAAGCCTAACGTTGAGATATCTCCCAATTGTCCGAGGTGTGGCTGTTCCAACACCAAGTTTTGTTACTACAACAACTACAGCTTGACGCAGCCGAGGTACTTCTGCAAGGGCTGCAGAAGGTACTGGACCAAAGGCGGGTCGTTGAGGAACGTGCCCGTCGGGGGCGGCTGCAGGAAGAACAGGAGAGGGAAGTCTCTGAGGCTGTCTTCGGCTGCTGCTGCTGCCGTCGGTCTTCACTCGAAAAATTTGTGTTACGGAAGTACTACTACTACTACTACTGACCCGATTGGACATTCTAATTATCATGGTGTCAATAGTGGGAGTGCTAATTTCTTGGCTGATTCCACTAGGTCTTCAGGGTCTCATATAGATCTTGCTCTTGTTTATGCAAATTTCTTGAATCCAAAGCCAGATTGCAAGAGTGGTACTAATAATATTATAAGTAATATTGGATCAGAAATACCTGAATTGGGTAGTCATGATCATAATTTTGATCCATCTCTGGAGCCAGATATGACTGGGGGATCCAGCATTCAATTAATGCCTCAGATTCCTGAATTGTCCACCGAAAATTGTTGCGACGGAAACGAGCAAATTTACTTCTGCGGATTGGACTCTTTTCACAAGCATCAGGATAGAAGTGATCAGCATTGTGCTATTACCGATTTCGCGTTGCCACCACTGCCCGGCCAAGAGTTTTTATGGTCTACTTCTCATATGATGGTTAGTCAAACCATGCAAGCAACACAGCTACCAGTGATCGGACCGCTAGATCATGTTCAAACTCATCAAGATCATGAGAATTTGTTGAGTAGTTGGAGCCCATTTGATTTGCCAAGTGATCATGATACTTTCTCAGGAGTAGATGAGAAAATTTGATTTTGTTGAGGTTTTCATTCATGTTTTCTTGTTTTAATACATATACTACCTATGAATTGTATGTATAGAACAGAACTTGAAAGATATATATATATATATATATACATAGAAAACCATAGAATAAACGATAAGTATATATCGGCCTTTCAGTTTTCCCAAGTAAATACGCAAAGATGTACTTTTTTCCATTAAATATCTCGTTTAACCTCTTTGTTTTCGTCTTTTCGTTTTTGCCTTTTTGTCACTTTTCTTGTAATTTTCTTTTCATTAATAATATTTGTTAGAAGTTTGATATGGTATAGGTTTTCTACGGGTGCCAACCTAGTTGAGATGTTCTAAAAATTTTTGATATCTCCTCTAACCTATTCATTAAAAAAAAAAAAAAAAAAGAAGTGTTTTTATAAAAAAAAAAAAAAAAAATGTTTTTTTTTTTTTTTTTTTTTTTTTTTGGCGTATTACTTCTTTTCTATGTAGCTGTTGAATACTATATAAAATATTTATGAACAGTTAATGTGACACAAACTGAATATAATTTATAATTACCCCCTAGCTAACAAGCAAAGACAAGTAAGTGACTACTAAAATGTAAAATCTGATATAACAAACACAATTCATTTATTACAAATGTAGCTAGTTATACTTTAATAATAAATTATCTCCAACCTAGAAATGAATTCTACATATATTCATTTTTGCTGTAGTCCAAAGTCCACATTCTGCAATGTTATTGAGAGCAACTTTATGTGATGATGATTAATTATTCGGTTTGACATTTGATTGAATGTTATATTTTATTGTTGAGTGCTTAAGAACTAATTAACTCCGGAAGGCCAGGGCTTAGTATCAGAAATATTACTCTCCTTCGGCTTGGGATTACTTAGGTATATAGATTGCTTGGAAATTAGACACACACACACACACACACACACACATATATATATATATTAGTAATTGATGAGATTAATAATCTATATTTAGTAAGATTATTCTAAATTTCTTCGATTCATGATCTCATTAGTAATTGATGAGATCAATTTCTTCTAAATTCATTCATAGAGAGAGAGAGTCATAGAGAGAGAGAGAGAGAGAGAGAGAGAGAGAGAGAGAGAGAGAGAGAGAGAGAGAGAGGTCAGTTGATTCTTTAGACGTGGAACCGATGTGGCAAATGCCAGAAAACATGATCAGATAAAACTCATAAGCATAGGAAAAATGTTTGGAAAGGACTTAATTAAAATCATGGTTGAAATCCTGAACTGTAATGAGAAGATATAACAGAGATAAAGTGAATATTTAGTTATATAAAATAAGAAGTGGCTATATGTACCAATGCATCAATTAATAACATTCATACATCCCTATTTGATACATTAATTTTTTGTTCTCTTTTGCGGATAAAATAATCGGTTACTACTGCTAAATATGTGGATCTGTAATAATCAACTATTCCAAGGACTGGGACAAATATATATATATATATATTTTAATTGTATGGCATAGATATGCATGGCTGAACAACTGGGACAACTTGGTTGCTTCTTCAATGTTCAATATATTTGAATTGACTTTTCACTTGCAGCTAAATAATTGAACTTCGAAACTCAAAAGGTATGTAATACTTGTTGGATCTTTAGATCCTTATTCCAGATTTCAAGAATCATCACACCAAATTATTAAGAAAATAGGTTAGAACAAATATTTGTCTCCATTGGTGCAGCCTTAATCTCCAGTAGAATTCTCTAAGACAACGAGCACGTCGACTTAGTCGAGTTATTGTCTTCCTCAGTCAAAACACCAGATTCTTGATTGAGTGTTCTCTCTTTAGATGGAGAAGAGGGAAAATGACCGAATGATTTGACGAATTAGGGACCATAACCTATGTTTCTTTATATATTGTCCCATTAGGCTCCCATTAAACCTAATTTGATCAATATTAGGTATCCACCCATTTAGCCCATACCCAGTTAGGAGACTATTAGGCTCTCTACAATTGGACCACTTAATTAGCCCAATTAATTAAATAGTGTTAATATAATTGTTATAAATATGTGGCCCATAATTATTATTAGGAAATATAATTTCCTAACAATCTCCCACTTGGGCTACATATGATTCCGGACACAATTATATCATACATTATTCCTTAGGTGCGCAACTGTGTACTATTTATCCTTAGTTTCCACTTACGGTACAATCTGGTCCATCTTTTAGATTAACATGGGATCATGGTGACTTTTGTCACTTTCAAAATGCAACTAAACCTTCCATGGTCACCACACTAATATATTCAATGACATAGACCGAGTATGGATGAGTGGCATGAAAATTACATGTAATGTGATCTCTAACATGCTTATTTCTAACTGCTCATACTCTATTCTTTATGAGTGGCATGAAGTTTGTCCCTATGTGTTCTATCAAAATCTGACCATTCTGAACTCTTTCTTTAACAACCAGAAACTTGATATCAATATGCTTTGATTTCGTAGAGCTTATGTTGTTATTGGAATACAGCACTGCCGATTTGTTGTCACAGAATATCTTTAATGGTCTTTCAATACCATTAACCACACGTAGTGCCGTGACAAATTTTCACAGCCACATCCCATGATTAGATGCCTCATAATAGGCTATGAACTATGCAGCCATGGTAGAAGAAGCTATGAGAGTCTACTTGGCACTCTTTCAGGAAATAGCTCCTCATGCCAACATGTAAACATAGCCTGACGTGGATCGCTTACTGTCTTGACATCCAACAAAATCAGAATCAGTACACCCGATGATCTCTAAACTGTCTGATCTCTGATAGGTGAGCATGTAATCCTTTATTCTCTTCAAATAATGCATAACCGGTTTGGTTGCTTTCCAATGATCCACTCTTGGGTTACTTAAATATCTGCCCAATACTCCCATTATAAATACTATGTCGGGACGAGTACAAACTTGAGCATACATTAGACTTCCTATTGCTGATGCATAATGAATCTTTTCCATTTCCTTTATCTCAAGTTCATGCTTGGGGCACTAACTGAGACTAAACTTGTCTCCTCTAGCTACGAGCATATCTCCTGATGTACAATTCTTCATGTCAAATCTGTCGAGAACCTTTTCGATATAGGCCTTTTATGATAACCCAAGGATACCTCGAGAGCGATCTCGTAGTATCTGTATTCCTAATACAAAAGAGGCGTCACCAAGATCCTTCATCTCAAAATTCTTAGTGAGAAATTTCTTGGTTTCGTGCAATAAGCCTATATCGCTGCTGGCAAGTAATATGTCATCGACATATAAAATTAGGAAGATGAATTTACTCCCACTAAACTTGTGATATACACAATCATCGACCACATTCACCTCAAAACCATAAGAGGTGATAACTTGATGAAAATTGTGATACCATTGACGGGAAGCCTGTTTGAGACCATAGATGGACTTTTTTAACTTACAGACTATAGACTTTGAATCTCCAGTTACAAAGTTTTTTGGCTGGACCATATAAATCGTCTCATCAATGTCGCCATTGAGAAACGTTGTCTTAACATCCATCTGATGTAGCTCTAAGTCTAAATGAGCAACAAGTGCCATAATTGTCCTGAAAGAGTCTTTTGAAGAAACTAAAGAGAAAGTCTCTTTGTAGTGTATGCCTTCCTTCTGAGTGAATCCTTTGGTGACTAGACAAGCCTTATATCTTTCGATGTTACCTTTCGAATCCCTTTTGGTCTTAAATATCCATTTACAACCTATGGGTTTCGTTCCTTTAGGCAACTCGACAAGATCGCAAACGTCATTGTCTTTCATGGATTTCATCTCATCCTTCATGGCAACAATCCACTTTTGAGCATTAGAACTATTTAAAGCTTGTTGGAAGTTGATAGGATCATATTCCCCTAAGCCTGCACCATCTTCATGTTCTCAGAGAAAGACGATATAATCATATGGAATCACACTTCTCCTTTCTCTAGTCGATCTCCTTAATGGCACTTCTTGAGGTTGTTGGGTTTACTCTATAGATGCTGTAGAGGGAACCTCATTGTTGTCTTGTTCTGAAACAATGTTAGGAATAAGAGCCTGATCATTATTATTTTGTACTGGAGTTGCATCTTGGACAATGGCTGGAATAACAGCCTAGTCATTGCCAATAGCAATATTGGGAAAGGAAGCAAAATCCTCTTCCTCAAAGATAGCATTCCTTATTTTATCTTCCCCCCAAACTCAATATCCTTAAGGAATCTCGCATTTTCTGTCTCAAAGAAGGACCTAGTAGTGGGATTGTAAAACTTAAAGCCCCAAGAGCGTTCAGCGTATCCAACAAAATAACAACTAACCGTTCTTGAGTCCAGTTTCTTTTCATTTGGCTTGTAAGCCCTTGCCTCAGCTGGATAACTCCAAACATGTAAGCGTCTAATGCTAGGCCTTTTTCCTATCCATAGTTCATAAGGGGTTTTGGTTAATGCTTTGCTTGGAACTCTGTTAATGATATAAATTGCAGTCTTTAGTGCTTCTCCCCAAATCGATTCAGGTAAAGAAGAATGACTAATCATACTTCTTACCATGTCCATAAGAGTTCTGTTTCGTCTTTTAGCAACAAAATTCATGCTAGGCTTACCTGGCATTGTGTATTGTGGGAAGATTCTGCATTCCTTTAGGAAGATAGCGAAGGGTCCTGGACGTTGTTCTCCTGATCCGTCATATCTATTGTAGTACTTACCACCACGATCATATTTTACTGCCTTAATTTTCTTGCATAGTTGAAGTTCAGCTTCGACTTTAAATTCCTTGAAAGCGTCCACTGACTGTGACTTCTCATGTATTAAGTATAGGTAGCTGAATCTTGAATAATCGTGTATGAACGTAATAAAGTGTTGTTGACCATTCTAAGAAGCTGTAGGGAATGGTCCATAAATATCAGTATGAATAAGTTCTAAGACATCTTTAGCTCTGTCAGCACCTAATTTCCTTATGTTTGTCTGTTTCCCCTTAATGCATTCAACACAAACCTAAAAATCTGTCAAATCTAGGAGA